TCCGCAAGGATTGGTTCCAGACTCTGCAGATATGAAAATCCACAGATGCCCAAGTCCCCTTGGAGAAGATGGTGTAGTATTTGGAAGTTACCTACATACTTCCTCCTGTACACAATCACGAGTTGCATGATTAAGTGATTTCTTCATGTATCTGTGAAAGAATGTCTATACAGAACGTAGGACTGGTTCAGTGTCAGATGATTTCATCTTCTGGAGCCGCTCGTATGGGATGTCGAGTCTGTTATCACTTAAAACATCACTATAGGGGCCAGGGAGATGGCTCAGTAGAATAAGTGCTTGCCTGGCAAACACAAGGGCCTGAGTTCAATCCCCGGTTCCGCAAAACAAAACAAAACAAAACAAAAAAAAAAATCACTATAAGTGCCAATGAGATAGCTCAGGGGACTAAGCACTAGCATAGGCAAGCACAGGGCCTGGGTTTGATCCCAGGAATCACAAGCCATGCTGGCCCTGCCCCTGGGCATGCTGAGCTGGTGATGGAGTCCAGGTGTGGTGGTGCATGCCTGTAATTCCAGCATTAGGGAGACTGAAAATAGGAGGATCACTGAGTCTGAGCTGCATAGTGAGATCCTGCACAAAACAAAACAAAACAAAAAAAAAACAAAAAAACCCAAAACATCACTGTATGGCATATGCTGTTCTCTGCTAGATTATTAATAATACCTAATAATGCAAGTAAATGATACATAAATAGTTGTTAAATTATATCATTTAGGGAAAATAAGAAGATACCTGTGTATGTTCAATACAGATACAGCTATTATAAGCCTAACTCATGGGATACAAATGACACCCAAGATGAAAAGTGCTCAAGTGGATGCTGCAGTGACTGATCATCAGTGATGAGGTGGGGACAATATCTGGGCACCTCCACGTCACTTCTCTTGCATGGATTCAGTGTAGCATTCACCATGCTACAAATTCAACTTTTGCTTTTCAGAACTTCCTGGAATTTTTTCAGTTTGCTATTGGTTAAGTCTGTGGATGGATAACTCATAGGGTAGGAGGACTAGAAATGTTTTTTCCTTTCTCTAGTTTTGAGTGGATCTTATTGTGAATCCAGGCTGGCCTTGGATCACTGTGTAGCCCAGACCCCTCTTGAACATGCAAACTTCTTGCCTCGTAAGTACTCTGGAGCACTGGGATGACAGGAATGTCCCATCATGCCTGGCTGCCAAATGTATTTAACGCCGATGATTGCAACTTTGCTTGAAAAGTCTGATCTATAGCCCTGAATCTTTATTTTGCATAGCAACAGCTAAGTGGACTAAGCACTGGATTCTTCCTTTAGAAGAGCCTATGTTCTCCAGTTTGTTACAGGGGAGGTTGACTGTACCTCCCCTTCCTCTTAAATACTGAAACAGTGAGGCTTCTGCCATTTCCTATGTGCCGTTTTGCTTTCTCTGATATATTTTTCTTAGATTTGGCCCATATTACTTCTTTGTATTACCTGCCTAGTACTTGCAGGCATTTGAGTTAACAGCCTCTGAAAATCATAATTTATAATTCCTTTGCAATTATTCTTTGGGGATCTAGTCTTGAAAATAAAGATGATAAAAGTTGTGACTATTATTCAAGAGGGAACACTTCTGGAACTTAAAAAGCATATATGTCACAAAAACAAAAAGCTCCGTAATCTAATGAACACATGGAAAGACGCTCCACATCATTAGTCATTAGTCAAATAAATGTCTAAACTATGATGAGATACCAGCCTCATCATAGCCACAGGCATGGTTGTAATACAGACAGACAATAACCACGTTGGTATGGAGTGGAGGAATCAGAACCCTGGTAATTACCGTTGGGAAGGTAAAATGGTGCAGCTATTTTGCATAAGTACCAGTTCCTCAAAAAGTTAAAAATAGAGTTATCATCTGACCAGGTAAATCTATTCCTAGGTATTACAAAATAAATGAAAATGTACACTCCTGCAAAACTTGTATGCAAATGTTTCCAGCAACATTACTTGTAATAGGCAAAAAGTGGAAACAACTCAAATCTACCAGCTGATGAATGGATGAGATGTATTGTATCCACACAATGGTTGGATGTTTGACAATGAAAAGAAATGAAGTGCTGACTCGTGCCACAAAGTGAATAAACTTTAAAAACATCATCCTAAGTGAAGAAGCCAGGCACAAAAAATGATATATCTTTATGATTGAGTTTATAATATGGACTCAGAATAGGCAAACCTGTAGGGACAGAGAATAGATTGCTGGTTGCTAATAAGTTTCCTCTAGAAGGGACAAAATGTTCTCAAATTGGATCATGTTGCACACCCTGTGAATTATACTTTGAAATGATTGAGTTTATGGCATGTTAATTACATTATCTAAAAAACTTTTTAAAACTAGTGATCAGAAAACAAATAATTCAAAGATGGGTAGATTTTCCCACCTTCAGATCATTGGCCTGAGTACATAACATATGCAGTCAAGTACAATTCCAGCAGTAGATTTAGAAAGTTATTCCTGATGTGAATTTACCTTCTGTTAAAACAGCTAAGCTTGCAGAGTGTAGTACACTATGCTGTCTCAATAGGTCAGCTTTTTCTTCGCTGTGCATTATCTTCATGGCCTGTTCAGTGGCTTTTGAATTATGTAGCATAAACAGACCTCGTTTGAAAAGTTTGCTTCTTGAGGGCCCATTGGAAGTATTATAGAGAGTCCCTGGTTGGTTCCATTGGCAAGTGGAGCTCTAGCAATGGGAAGAAATATACAGCTTGCTATCCTGGGTTTTTCCGTCTTTTAGTTAAAAGGCATGGATCAGGAGGATAGCTTTGGAGGGAGATTTCATTACATAGCCTGTTGATTATACAAAAGTTCCTAGACTTCCCTTTCAAATAAAGCATCTCAAGTATAAGCTTTTCCCTGCTGTGATTTTAAGGGATTTCCAAGTGTTATTAACATCTACAATATTAGAATTAGAGGGAAAGTTTATAAATTATCTAGATTTACCCTTGTTTTTGTTGTTTTTTTCAGATGTCCATTTTGATAGTAACGATGAATAGCGTTAGTGTGTCATTACTTCTGAGATGAGTGTATTAGTGAAACTTCGCTGTTCTATTTAATAATACCTTGTTTCCAGCCGGGCTATGTAGACTGAAAAAAAAATTATATTTTGTGCAAACCTTCAATTATCCTTGATATTTTATTTACATAAAAAGTATCCTTATTCTAACTACTATTTAATTTTGATAGTAATTTGTTTTTTGTTTTTTTACTGTATTTGGTACAGGGTCTCACTACACAACTTGGACTTGTCGTGAGCCTCCTGTCTCAGCCTCTCCAGCTGTGAGATTACAGGCATGTGCTACCACGCTGGTCTCTGTGGCCAGCTCAATGCACCCTGGGGCGGGGCCAGCTCAGCATGTGGTACCAGGGATTGAATCCATCCCAGCACTTGCTTAAGCAGGCGCCTAGTCTGCTGAGCTATCTCATTGGCCCTTTGATAGTAATTTTAACTCTTAAGATTTTGTAGGAAATATATTTGAACAGAGATACTTTATTTTTGGGGTTTTTTTGAAGCAGATTCTTGCTATGTAGTTCAAGCTGGTCTTGAACTTGCAATTCCTCCTGCTTCAGCCTTCCAAATACTGGGACAACAGGCGTGTAGACTTGGTCATTCTTTAGTATGTTTCAACATATGGTTGGGGTTTTTGTTCTAGTTTTGGATTGTTTTTGTGTGTGCTTGTGTGGAGTTATATAGATGGATCTCAGGGCTTCACATAGGTGCTGTACCACTGAGCTGTACTCCAGTCCTATGGTCAGTTTTTAATCTAAAATTTCTATTATCTAGCATTCTTTTTTAAACATTTTTAAAATTTATTTATTTGGTACAGGGTCTGACTACACAGTTCAGACTCATAGTAATCCTCCTGTCTCAGCCGCCCCAGCACTAGGATTACAGGCATGTACCACTATTCCCGGTTTTGGTGGCCAGCACAGATATGTCAGGGGTTTCTGAGGTTCCTGGGCCAGCATGGCATGTGGTACTGGGGATTAAACCCAGGTCATCGTGCTTGCTAGGCAGGTGCCTAGACCGCTGAGCCATCTCTTCAACCGTCATCTGGCATTTTAGTACAGACTATTCCATCATTACCAGAAATGAAACATCCTCCCTTTGTACTTCATAACACTTACTATATTTGACATTTAGTATAATTTTGTCGTTTGTTTTATTTAATATATCCTCCCATAAAACTCCCTTAAGTTAGGGATTTTTGTCTTTTTGGTGAAGTGCTAGGCATAAAGTAGAAGCTAAACAAATACTTATTAAATGGATGACTGGATGAACCATCCATTCATCAAGACAGACGTAAGTAAACAAAAGCTGATTGATGCCAAAAGAGGAGCTATAGCTTTTCAAGCCTTGCTCTTCCACTACAGTTGTTCTGGTAACTGCAACTGCAGTTTACTTCTCCTTGGCTTACAGAACAGGATTCAGGGGTTTTGATATTTCATTTCCTTCACGACTGTTATGTGGGTCAACTTCATGACAACTGTGGGTCTCGATAGCTGGCTATAGATCAAAGGAAGTCCCAGTGAAGGTACTCTGAAGTGTAAAGAGCTATGAGCTAAACATGTATCAGGTAATTCTATATATCTGTATCCATTAGCCTGACTTTTTTAGGTTCTTGGGGTTTCTTTGGTTGAACCCAGAGCCTTGTGAATACTGGGCAAGCGCTCTGCCGTGGGCTTCATGCTCAGCCCTTTTTTATCTTAAGAGAATCTTGCTAAGTTACCCAAGATGGCCTCAAACTTATGATGCTCCTGCCTTAGCCACAGAGAACTGGGATTACACGTGTTCATATTTCATTTTAAGAATATTTTTGTGTGTATGAGTATCTGCATGCTTTTAGGGGAGGAATACTTTCAGTTGTCACAAACAATAATCAGTATTGTTGCCACAGCATGTTTACAATACAGTCCATAAAAAGTTCTTGTTAATGTCTTGTTTGACTTCTTTTGTAGGAGCTGGAGAGATTTGAAGACTTTGTAAAATCCTGTCCTCCTTTTGATATTGTCATAGATGGACTCAATGTTGCTAAAATGTTTCCTAGAGCTCGGGAATCTCAGTCTGTAAGTACAAAGTCAGTTTTGCTGTTTTCTATCTCCATAAATATTTATTCTTCCTATTAATGATCCATGAAGATATTTGCTTCTTGTCTTCCTTCATGAAATTAAGCTCCTAAATGTGCTGCAGTGACCCATCCCTCATCTCAAAGCCACCATTTTATCTCTCCAAGTAAGTTCTACAAGGCTGGGAGTAAGAAATTAAAGAGAATGAGGAGTTAAAAGAAAACCACATTACAAAGGGCATTGCTCATTTTTTGTGACCTTTAGCCCATCTCCTTCTAGCCCTCTGCTTTCTTTATTGTTTCTCTGCCATTTTCCTGTGGAGCTACCCCTGTAACAATTACCAGTATATTAGGATATAATAGAGATACTAGTCACGTGTTACCTACATTTGTTTTTTCCAAACACAGTGCATTCATAAATTAACCTCACCAGGTCTTCTTTCATGAGGTACCCATTTGGCTTATTGATTTATAAATGTTTTAGCAGTCTCTAAGAAGAATATCATGATTTTTTTCATTGCAACAATGAGTAGTTATTTTAATCCCTATTTTATAGGTTAGAAAATGAGGTTATTTTATACAATAAATCCTTAGGTAACAGTCCTATCGTCAAAATTAAATGATAATCAACACTTGGATTTCAGACTTGTGGCTCTTATCATTGGCAGTCTATGGCCATTCATCTGTAGTTGAACTGTATTAGTTCTTTAAAATTGCTGCCAGTATAAAAGCTTTTTCTTAGAGATGCTACTAGTTCAGTTTGACCATTTATACTCAGAAAAGCTCACAAGTAGAAACAAAGGATAAGCTTAATTTATGGAAAAATTTTGATACGCTTTTCATTTGTATTTGTGCCTATATTATATTTAAGTATGTCTTTTAAATCTTTTATTTTAAAAAATAAAAGGAAATAGAATTTATTTGTTTGTCTTGTTTTTGAGACAGAGTCTCACTATATAGCCTATACTGGTCTTAAACTTGTGTCCTTCTATCTCAGCCTCTCATAGGTGAAAATGTTTTTTATCTCTTATACACATGAGAGAGCCTCTGAGGCAGTGATACTGACAAAGGCTCTGTGTGGCGGCCCTGGGTTCAATCTCTAGTACAGAAAGAGACAGAAAGAGATTACTTTATAAAAACACTATGTATTTTTTTTTTTTTATCAATGAACGGTTCTCACTTTATTTTTATTTTTATTTTTTTATTTTTTTTTAAACACTATGTATTCATTGTAAAAAATTTGGAAACAGGGAAGGAAAAGCATATAAATAATTCTATTATTCACCAGTAGTCATTGTCATTGTTTTATTTATTTCCTTCCAATAATTTTCCATTTTGAGTTCCAACTGTGTTCATAATTAACTATATTTTAAATTTACAGTTGTTTAAAACTCTGAATAAAAATAAAACTATAAAAGGAGGGCTGGCCTGATAGCTCTGCTTAGGCAGAGCATGGCCAGGTTTCAATCCCTGGCATGGCCGCCCCATCCACAGGGTACACTGACATAGTGATTGAAACTCCCAGCCCTTGGGAGGCTGAAAACAGGAGGATCACTACGAGTGCAGCCTACATAGTGAGACCCTGCACACCCTGTAGACCTTGTCCTAAATACAGAAATAAATAAATAAAAATATAAGGAGTAGAAGAAATCTTATGTGGCAATTGTATATTTGAGCATATATAAAATACAGGAAGGAAAACAGCACAATTTGCTAGACAGTGAAAAGTACTATAAATGGCAAAGTGGTGCAAACATGTGATCCCAGCACTTGACAGAGGGAGGCAGAAGAATCGAGAGTTTGAAACCAGCCTGGGCAATTTAGTGAGCTCAAGGCCAGCCAGGACCACATCTTGACATTCTGACTCAAAAACCCCCCCAAAATAAGCCACTATGCAGCATATGCCTATAATCCCATAGTTGGGGATGTAGCTCAGTGCAAAGGTCCTTGGGTTCAGTCCCTTGAACCACAAAAAACATGCAGAATAACAG